TGGCCGCAGCTGAGGACCTGGGTGTCCCCTGCCCCACGGCCCTAGTCCCCATCACCTGTACACCCGGCCGCCCCAAAGAGACTGCCGCCCCCCAGTCTCCCCCCACCAGGCCTCGTGACAGAGCAGCTGCCCTTCGAGGCTGCTTTTCCGCTTTTCCGTCCCTCCAGGAGCTGGCTCATGCCTGCAGAGCGGCAGCCCGGCCAGACCACTGGACCCATATGCCACAGCTCCCGGGGCAGGGAGCCTTTGCTTTGTCCTCGTGTTGGTCCTGCTTACACAGAAATGTGGCCGAGGGCGGGACCCCCCCCGTCCTTTTACCCTTCCGGGCTCTGGAGGGAGAGGGGCTTTGACAGATAATTGGGACCCTCTCTGAGAGGCGCCTTCTCTCCAGCTCGCCAAAGTGACCATTGTGGACCACCACGCGGTGGCTGAATCCTTCATGAAGCACCTGGAGAACGAGCAGCGGATCCGAGGGGGGTGCCCAGCGGACTGGGTCTGGCTTGTGCCCCCCATCTCTGGCAGCCTCACGCCCATCTTCCACCAGGAGCTAGTGAACTACCAGCTCTCCCCCGGCTTCCGCTATCAGGTGGGTCTCTCCCACCCTGGCCACTGACGGCGAGGGGGGGCTGCACTTTCTTAATGCCACGGGGCATTATTGTTTGTCGGGTCATTGTTTGCTTTTGTTGCACGCCACCCAGAATCACGTGGTTTGAGTCGGGCGGCAGTCCACATTGGTTGATCAAACATGACGATGACGCTCCCCAAGCTACTCGCCAATTCCATCCATTCTTGGAATTTATTATTTATTTAAGACTGCTTTTATATCGTATTTTAATTGATTTTATCTTCTCTGAAAACCACCCAGAGTCACTTTTTAACAAGATCAGCGGCGACAAATCTGATACATAAATAAATACATAAACAAACAAACACGTTGAGGGAAAGGGCCAGGCAGGAGCGGCTGGGGTGGCCACTTAACAGGCCACATGTTTGCCTTGGTTAGTTTTAACCTTGTTGGGGTTATTATGCCTGCCTGTGTTCTGCACACCCAGGACGTTTGGACATTTTATGCTCGCTGACCTTTCCAGTGGCAGGGTAGCAGGGAACGTGGCTGCCCCAGAAGCCTAGAGAGCATCTGGAAGACTCCTGTGGGATGGAAAAAGGGAAGATTCCCATGAAAGAGGCGAAACGGAGAGCCCAGAAACTGGGTTATGGAAGAAGGAAGAGAGGCGGGTGAGGGGGCATCCTTAGGTGTGGCAGAAGATCAGCACCAGGCTTGTCTCCAGCAAAAGGAGCTCCCTCAGTTCTCAGGCTCAAGAGAGGCGTTGATGGAAGAGCCACATTTCCTCAGGGGCCCTTGGCCTTTGCCTTGCTTGAGCTGCTGGCTTTCACTCTGTTGGTCTCCCCAGACCTTTCCATGGGGCAGAGTTAGCTTACGAGTCCCTGTGAGCTCAAGGACGCATACAAAGCCCCATCATCTGCACCCAAGAAGGAGGCCTGTCTCCTCCGTAGCAAGTAACAGTGGCCCCTCTCTCGTCATCCAAATGGAGAGGTTTGAGGGGCTGAGACCTGACTCCCATACTGTCACCCCATAACAGAGCTGCTGTTCCCACAGGCTGACCCCTGGAAATCATACATTCCCAAAGGTACCACCATCACGCGCAAGAAGACCTTCAAGGAAATTGCCAAGTAAGCGTTGGGGGGAGGGGAGCCTGCACCCCTCAGGGGTGAGCCGGTACCTCCTAAAAGGGCCTCCAGAACTAGTGGTGCTCAGCTCACGCACAGAGCCCAGGAGGCTGGGGAGGCCGAGCAGAGGAGAGCGAGGCTGCCTCTCTGGGCACTGGTCCGGTGACCCCGAGCCACAGTTGCCGGAAGGAAGGAGCCCTCCAGCCTTCTCCGTCTGCAGCCCTTGTTTCCTTGCCCCTCGCAGCGCAGTCAAGATTTCAGCAAAGCTGATGGGGCACGTGATGGCACAGCGGGTCAAGGCCACCATCCTGTACGCCTCTGAGACAGGGAAGTCCAAGGCCTACGCCTTCAACCTAAAGGAGCTCTTCCAGTCTGCCTTTGCCCCCAGGGTAAGCCCGCCATGGCTGCTCCTTGTTCTGGGAAGCTGTGTGGGGAGACTCGCCTCGAGCTCTCCTTGGAGCAGAACGTGCCAGGCAGACGCGTCCGGGCCTCCCAGCGCTCTGGGCTCAGGGACAGGCATGCACCGTCCCCCATCAGGGCTCCATTTCCACAGCTGTGGGAGAAGGGTGGGCTGGTGAAGGAGAGCCTGTGGGGAGTTGAAAGGCCCACAGCCAAGTTGCACCAGTGCTTACAGAAACGGGGGCCTTTCCTGCCCAATGGTTCATACTTTTCTTAAGTCTGAGTCCTGGGGTGGAGCCCCCGTTCTTCCAGACTGTGTCTGTAGATCTATCAGCTTCCCTCTGCCTGGCCCAGGAGGGCATCCCGCTGGGGATGCCACGCAGGAATAAGGAAGGAGAACAGGTCTCCCCCTCCCCAGTTGGTTAACCTCCTTCATCTTATGAACCCGCAGCAGAAAGCAGTGAGTCTTCCCAGTTGGGGGGCCGGGGTAGGGGGATGGAGGATTGTGCTTCCATGTTTCGCCCACACTTTTCCACAGGTGATGTGCCTTGATGAATATGATGTGGTTTCCCTGGAGCATGAGACCCTTGTTCTGGTGGTAACAAGCACATTTGGCAACGGAGACCCTCCTGAGAATGGAGAGGTAACAGCCTGACCTGAGTGTCTGGGGCAACTTCCCCTGTCCTCCTGCTCTGAGCCCAGAGAAAAGTGTGGGAGTCCATCTCTGTACACAGGTGCCCCCCTTCACCCCCAGAGTTTCAAGCAGGTGGCAGGGCAGTTGTCGATGAGCACCTGGGCCTGGAGCAAGGACACAACTGAACCCGACCCAACCCCATTATGGTGATCAAAGGGCCAGTCGAGAAATGCACACGTTTATTCTATTCCTTCTTAGCGTTGGGCTAAGCGGACCGATGGAGGCTTTGATTATCTTCTGTAGGAGATAAGGTGGTCCTCTCTGGCTCATTTTCACTTGCGAATTATTGTTCCAGAGACTGAGGTTTCCGTTGTGTATTTCTGCCTGGATTGGAATACAAGCGGGCATCAACCCACCAGCCCCTTAGCAAAGGCAGCCGGGGGTACATCGAGCAGTAACTGCTCCCCCCACCGCCCACTCCTGAGCCTCTGACAAGGATGCGCCATCCTTCTGCCATCTTTCCCCAGGTGATATGCGTGCACACGCGCGTGCATGCATGCGAAGGAGGAGCTCGGCTTCCGGGCAAGGGCTGCTCCTCTGGCAGGACCAAGGTCCATATCAACCTCCTTCTTCAGGAAACCACAGCTGGCTGGGATCCTCCTTCCGCAGAAGGGGACCCCGCAAGTCTGCCTTGATTCTTTTTCTTTGCAGAGTTTTGCCAAGGCCTTGATGGAGATGTCCTGCCCTTATCTGGGGGCTCCTGAGCCGGAGCTTCAAAAGTAAGCCCTGCGACCTCCTCTGCCTGCTCCTCTCTCCTCCCAGCTGGGTTCCGAGGTCTTCTCTGAACCAGTCCCAGGTTCAACTGCTGAAGCCTGGTTGAGGGTCCTTCTGCTTGCGCCTTCTCAGCTACCCCCGGTATGGCAGTTATGGCCCTTGTATGGGCAGGGAGGTCTTTATAGGAAAGTTCTTCAGGAAGGTCTGGCTTGGAGCCCAGTTGCTGATTTAATTAGCACGTTTGAATAACTTTACATCATGTGAAGCCCCAGTGAAGAAGCATTATGGAGAAGCAAGGGGGCATTTCCCCTGATGTGGCAAGGAAAGAATTAAGCTGTAGCCCTTTGAGGGCTTGAAGGAAGCCCACAGGACCTGGCTGGCGGGATGCCCTTGCAAGTCAACCCACGCAGGATTGCCTTGGGAACACAAGAAGCCCCCATTCCCTGTTGCAGCAGATCAGTGGCATTAGGACGGCCTTCCCCAGAGGTGGTGGAAGTCCATCCACATTTATGGGGATCTGAAGTCCAACGTAGCTGGGAGACATGAGATTGGGAAGGAGGCCTCAGGATATCCTGCAGAGACCTGAGTCGCCATAACCTGCTTTCTGTAATGCTCCATCCTTTTTCTTAAACATCTGGGGGAGCCCTCTAAAATGGCGTTCTTGCCTTCAGGCCAAAGGGTCATTGGAGAGCTACCTCCAGATGTTGGCCTTCCAGAAAAGGAACACCACTTCGGCTTTTATTTGTGTGGGTTACATTCAACATTTATTGCGTTAAAAATTAAACTTGATGCATTCGTAGAATATTTACTTATTGCATCATGTAAAAATAACAATATTAAACCCATTAGATATTAACAAATGTTTTCATGAAAAAACCCTGTATTTTTTTAACAAAAAATTGTATGTTTTAAATCTTTGCAAATATCTCAGGTCCGAGCGGGTCTTGGGGAACCCCAGGGGCGCTTGGACCACACTAAGAAAAGCTGCCCTAATGGAACGTGGGTTTCTTCTCTCTGGGCCTGCCCTCAATACTGTCCTCGTGTACGTCGCTAACTCCATAGAGCTCCCCCGGACAGCGGGGCCCAGAGAAAATTCCCAAGAGACTTCTTAGCGCAGCCCTCCTCTCCTACCTCCCTTAATTCTATTTTTATTTTGGGTAAGAAGGATTATCCAGCACTCTGGTTGCAGTCTAGCTCATCCTCCCATCATCCCCAGCTAGTGTGGAAAGGCCGGGTTAGCATGGTGCAAACCTCGCTCCAGCCTTTTCCCAGCTTCTCCTTTTCTGAACGTTTGACTCTTCTGTCTGCCCTGATCCCCAAGAAGCACCTTGCCCTCGTGCACCTCTTGGCCCAGGAACCGCCGGGCTCGTGTGCCACAGGGGGAGGGGGAGGGGGCCGTTGGCAGCCGAGGGTGCAGACACCCGACTGACAGTAGGGCAGAGCCGATGGCTGATGGCTTCCAGCTGTTGGAAAGGAGGATGAGGGCTCTGCACCCCCCCATCACTCTCTCCCCCTTCCTCCTCCAGGAGCTACAAGATGCGGTTCAACAGTATTTCGCAGTCCGACCCCTTGGTGGTCTTGTGGAAGAAGAAGCGCCGCCGGGAGTCTAGCAACACGGACAGCGCCGGTGCCCTGGGGACGCTGAGGTGGGTCCTGGCAGCAGGGGAGGAGCCGGGCCCCCAGCCGGGCCTGCTGGGGCGAGCCTCGAGGGGCTTTCCACAAGGGGTCTGGGGTTCTTGCCACACATCCGCAGGGGGTCCATGCAACCATTTTCTCCCTTTGCCATTCCCTGGGTACCCAAAAGGAAGGCGGAAAACGGGGAGCCTCTCTGCTGTTCTGGGGCTTGGGGTAGGCCCCCCGCCTTCTTGGTTTGCCGGAGTTTTGCTGGGAGAGGCAGGCCGGGCAGGGTTTTACGGGAGCATGTATCCTTATGCCCAGCCATGTTTAGTTCCACCAATACTCAAAAGCATTAAAGCAGTAGCAGAATAGGTGAGCTCATGCTAAAATGTTAGCATTACTCCTCTGATTTTTTCCAGTCAGCACAGGCCGGCAGATGGTTTCTCTGAATGAGTATTCTAGTTTACGCTAGGGGCCCAAGACAAATGTTGGTTTATGTGGGCCAGCGTGGACAGACATGCTTGGTTTTCATTCTGGCTAAGGATGGCCCTGATTTATCCCACTCCGAGGACACCCCCCTCCCCCCCCGTGAAGGGACCCTTCAGGGGGTGGAAGGGCCAGCTGGGCATCACCTGCCTTTCTGCGAAGCTGCCCCCTTTCCGCCCTGCTCTGCATCTCTGCCTTCCTCAGCCCAGGCTTCTGGGGGAGCAGCCCCAGGCTCCCCGCCTTAAAGGGCTGGGGGGGCACAAAGGGAGCTGCAGCTCTGCTGGCAGTAACCGGGGCACAGAAGGCAGGACCGCCTCCTCCTCCTCCTCCTCCTCCTCCTCCTCCTCGCGGCTGAAGTTCAGATTGTCCAGGGTGGGTGTGAACAGGAAGAAGCCCCCGCACGTTTTGCCCCTGAGCAGCCCAGGGTAAAGCCCCCCCCCCACC